AGAGAGAGAGAGAGAGAGAGAGAGAGAGAGAGAGAGAGAGAGAGAGAGTGTGAGTGAGAGAGAGAGAGAGAGAGAGAGAGAGAGAGAGAGAGCGATCATAGAGAGAGACGGGGGGAAAAAAGGGAAAAGGAAGGGATGGAAGAGCAATGTGGACCTGAGACAGTCGCTTTAGGTCAGTATTGGCATTGGTGGTCGCCGGGGATCCTTTGCCGACGCAGATCTTGGATCCAGACAAGCAGTTTGTTGCTTTTAGCTACATGGCTCATCCTGTGATATACTCGCTGGCAAGATCCCGGGCTTTAGAAAACCAGCAAAAAGAAAATCCATCCTATTGATGACCTCCCTGCACGCACTCCTGTTGATGTCTCAGATGAGATGAAACCTGAGTAAATATCACACACATGAGATAGATTTTCAGGGAAGCCCGGTTTCGAGTGTGAATCCGGCATCACGGCGCCATTACCGCTGCTCTCGAGGAAGTATGTGTTGAGCTAGAGCCCCGAGTGGGACGGAAGCTTGTTAGATAGGTTCCAGCAGGCCCCTAAACATCAATTGATCAGAAAGTCTACGTTGCATGGGAGAGTCTACTTTTGACTCTCAGCTACGCAGCTACTCATTCTCACCTAACTCAACTAACTGCAGATCAGGCCCCAAACTTCAGAGGCAGAGGATCGAGCCATTCGCTCAATCTCCTCCTCTACAACCGACAGTGCCTGACTCAGAGTTGCGACCCTCGGCTGTCAAACTTTTCGAGCACTTGCCCTTCACGGCGATGCACCTTCGGCATGTCGGAGAAGAGGAGGTCCACCAGGCGGGTGCAACGCGCCTTGCTGACCTCAGAGGCTCGGACAATCGGATGCTCTCCATGAAATCTCAGCAAAAGTCCGGGATTGAGGCAAAGCCTGGAGGCAGCTTGGAAGGAGTAGCCTCGCGGCGTCTCGTGGTGCTCCGTGCATGCTCAGCAAAGGTAAACGGATGCAGAGTGGCCATGTATGTTTCCACATGGGCTGTCAAGCCTGCGACTCTTCGGGTAGACTCGAGGAGAGCAACGCAGAGCAGTACAAGTAGAAGGACAGCCTCAGCAGGTGGTGACATCTCTTCCGCAATTCGAGAGCAATAGATGCAGCAGCAGAACAACGGTGAAGTGTGGTGGACACCGGTTTGAGTTTGGCTGACGGGAATTTATCCGGATATTTTCCCTTGGCCGCGGGATCAGCGGAAAAGAAGTTGGATCATACGCAAAGCACGGGGCCACCATCCCACGGCGACAACCATGCGGGACCACAGCAAGTGCGGAAGAAGAATCCTGCTTTGCCTTACATGTCCTCGACGAAGTGGACTGTGTCCGGAGGGTCTGGAGTCAGCCTTTGATCTGCTACCTGCAGCTCCTGAAATGCCATGTCTCGCAATCTGTTTCGTGCTTCAACATGCTGGGACCAAAATGGTCCCAGAGGCCAAACGCATATTACAATCCCCTCCTGAGATCAGAAGGACGACTTCCCAGCCAGCTCCGACATCCAACTCTCTCAAACCCCAAACCAGGATAAAATCACGTGGAGACCACCCACCATTAGTGATGACTCAGAAACAAGGCCCGGAGTAAGCTTCGGGGATGAGCTCCTGGATGTACTCAAGCCTTAATGGTCCCCTATCAACACATTTCAACGAAAATGGTGGCCCTTAGCAAAGCCGCTAGGACAGTGCTGACGGCATGCCTATTGCTGCTAAACAAACCACGGGTGCAGTGCACGATGTGCGTTCTACACGTTTTACCGTCCGAAGTTCTGAAAACATACCAAAAAACGGGAAAAAGAGCGTGCGGTAGAAAACAGTGGGGAAAGCTGCTGCGCACAGTCTGTAAGGGCCCGACTCCTCCAAATCACGTGTGCCATCAAGGAAGTCAGCGAAGAGTCCTACCGCTGCATCCTGGAAGGTGTAGTTCTCAAATCGGACAGCAGACTTCTCAGAAACAGAGTGCGGCCTTGGAAGCATTCTGCGCCACAGACTCCAACAGCCTTGCTGCACGGGTGGCGAGTTGACGTATCGAGAAGTGTCATCAAACGATCGAACCCAGCTTTGTTCAGGCAGGTGACTGCCAGGATCTCTGATGCACCAAGCGCTTCACACCATGCTGTCTTCGCAAGATTTCCTGCAAGATCCACGGGCAACTGGTTCCATGTCGAGAGCTGAACAGAGAGAGCCATCGATGCTCAGGTCGTCCTGCATGACCGCATGCAGCTGCCGTCTTGGCTGCTGAGTCTTGTCACGCCGGCGATCTTCAAGACCTGGCAAACGTAAGGATGGAGGGAAAGACTTCAGTAAAGCCTCAAGCACCCAAGGGCCCAAGGTGGCACTCAACGGCTTCAATGCAAAGCACAAACAACACAAACCTAAGGCTGAGGGACGTTTGGCAGAGTATACCTCGGCGATGAAGCTTCGCAGCTGCCTCCATTCGCAGCAGTGCCATGATATGGCGCAATCTGAAGCAATGATCCCTAGTCTGTCACTCCCATGGCCGGGTCCTAAGCCTAAGCACTTCCCTGATGAAAAGTTCCCACCTGCGTCCGAACAGTTTGTTGTCTTCCTCCTCGCCACCAAGCCAGAAATGAAAGCGTCACTGCAATCACTCGCCGATTGTTTCCCGAAGCGCGGCGAACGGCTTTTCCGCAGGAGTGATTTGGATGGCACGATGTGGTGATGTTGACATGAAGGGTTGCTTCCTAAGCTGTCGTGATGTTGCATGACGTGACATGATTTCTTCGAGATGTTGGCCCTCCGCTTTCCGTGAGGTTGGTTGGGCCTTGAGTTGTTGTGGGGGAAACCTCTTGGCCGTTCCTGAATTTCGCCAGTCTATGGCGGAAGCATTTTATGTTGAATCGAACCATGAGACGGGTTTATAAACGGGTCCATGGAGGGTTTTTATAGCAGGGTTTCATGCAAGGGTATATTATTAGATGATGTTTGCGAGGGTTCAGAGCGGGGTTGAAAGAAGGGTTTTAAGGAGGGCCTTTGGAAGGGTTTGGAGTTTAGGATCTGTGCCGAGGGGTTGCGTGGACAGGTGGATGGATAAATGATGATAAATGGCTGGATGGATGGCTGGCTGGCTGGGTGGGTGGGTGGATGGGCGGGTGGGTAGGTACCAGTAGCTGGCTGGCTGGCTGGCTGGCTAGCGGGCTGGCTGGCTGGGTGGCTGGATGGATGGACAGAGGGATGGATGGATGGATGGATGGATGGATGTACAGATGGATGGATGCTAAGCTGCTACACGCTTTCGGGACACTGCACTGCAGAAGCTTGGGTGCACCTCAGAGACCGCGGCATTGCCAACCGACGGCCTCACAGAACGAACAGGGGGGGCAATTAGCACAGGAGCAGGACGGAGCCATGGCTGCAAGGTCTTGCCTAAACATCGCTCAAACACTGACAAGGAAGTAAAGCAGGCGGTGTCTCCTCATGCTGCTTGACCTGATGCTAGGATTCCGCTGAGCTCGGCTTCCGTTGCCATGGGCGGAGCTGGAATCTGCCGGAATCCGCCGGAATCCGTTGGGATTGGGATGTGTCAGCCCCTCCATGTCCCACAGGGGAGCGTTGCCCGGCTTCCACCAATGCATGGCTTTTGTTCGGCGTCTGTGAATATGTTCCACCCTCTCGTCTGTCTTGTATGGGCTACCCTGCACGAGGCGTAGGCATGCCATCAAGGCAAAAAGGGCTCCAACTATGGACCTATCTGGCTTCGTGCTTTGCTGAAGACAGAGCATGAGAGAAGGCCTGGCTGACTAAAACCCAAGATCAAAAAATACAAGAAGGAGGCCTTGCAGCAACTACAGGTCAGAATCGGAACAAATGTCGAGAAACGACATGACAGACCGTCGTTGAACAAGACGTGTGCATCTGATTTCCGCCGATGCCCGACAAGGTCTTGGCTGCAGCACATGCAGCTCGCAGCTGCAACTCTGGCTGACAGTATGTTCGAGTTGACGTGCAAAGAAGATGACATCGACCGATGGTGATGCTTCAACCCACAGGTCCAGCGGAACCGTCCAACTCCCACGTTTCCGCATTGCCACAAAATTGATATGCTAAAACGACACTTCTCACTCTTCCGGAATGCTGCATCGCTCAAGCTCTTCGTGTCATGACAGGCTTGCAAATCGCAACACCCGTTCTGACGGTGTCAGACTCCCGTTTTTTCATGGTTGTTCTTCCACGATCTTCCACGTGCTGTGTCAACCCTACGAGGTCCTTGCTGTGCTTGCCTTGCTTGTTTATTGCATCGGGCTCTTCAAGCTGGCGCTGTGGAACCTTGGACTTTGAGTTACTTTGTGTTCAGGGTTCGGACAGGGTTGCACACGGTTTCAGGATCAGTCAGGATCTAGGGTTTCAGGGTTCGTGTCCTCGAGCGTTGTGCCGGGAGTCGAAAGTCTTTAAGTTTGTAGGGCTTGAGAGGCTTGTAGTTTAGGGTTGCATGGTTCTAGGGCCTTCAAGATTTGTCCGGCCACACTTATGTTTCCCCTCCTCCAAGCTCTTCGTGGTGATTCGGGAGATTGGGCTGTGAGCTTGGCTTCGCATGTGCTGTGGCGTGAGTACCATTGCTGTAGCGCCGCTTGAGTCGCACCGAGCAGCATGCGAACATCCAACACGTTTTGACCATCCAGAAAAAAACATCCATCGGCAGATTTGGGGTGTTTGCTCCGGGCTTCCGACACTTTGACTTTGGATTATCAAAAGACAAGACTTATCTCCCGAGGGTAGGCAAATCATCGTGAGCTGTAGCTAAGCCGAAACTCCGGCCCCTTGCCAAGCCTCCGTGCTGGCCCCAACCCCGAGTCTATTCCGCGTATTGTGCTGTGGCGATGACGTCCCAGAGCCTCGTGGAGACTTCGTCGCTGCTAGCATGCAGACAGATGTCGCTGCTTAACTGGCCGCGGCAGCATTGACGTTGCTTGGAAGCTTACTTCCGAGGCAGGTGCCCAAACCTCCGAGCTGTACAATGCGCTCCCACACTTTCTGGTAAGTCAACTGCAGCCTTATGTTTGAGTTTATGGTACGGCAGGGATTCACGATGTGAATACTCTAAGAAGTGTTCTGTTCAATTTCTCTTGATAGTTTTTATGGAGAACTATGCACACTTCAAACACAATGCTTCAAGTTTGCACATGTCAGCAAGCTCGATGCGGGCTTTCAACGATGAAACGACAAAGGCTGAATCGCACCTTGTCCTCTTAGCGACGGTGAGATCTATCGCCTGTTCTGGCAGCTGAGCACATGAACAACCTAGCGCCGAACCCCAAGCCTGGGCAAACGCACATCTGAAGAGCCTCATCCTCTGCGCCTGCGCAAAACGACTCGGTGGCCGTCCTTCCCTCACACAGAGGCATAGCACCCAGAAGTCGAGGCCTCCTGTTCCGCTTCTGTGGCTGCATCCTATCAACGGAGACCACTGCAGATATCTATGTACAAGAGGAAACAGCACCACACCTGGCCAGCAGAGGCGGCACGGTCCTTATGCAAGCTTTGGCAGTCGGAGAGCGTCAAGCGTGCACAACAGCTGCCGCAAGCCTGTTCAGGTTCGGTTTGCTCCAAGTCCTCTGCAAGCACCTGTGCCTCCTGACGAAGGTGAATTTCTGGTTTGTGTGCATCTGACAAGGGAAAAACCAGCTCAGACAAGGCCCCGTAGATACTCTGACTACTCTGCGAAGAAACACGTTCCGATGATGTGGGCATAAGTGTTGCTGAACAGGATTGAATGAAGTCCGAGTGGAGGGCTGCTACACTAGGTTCTCGTCATTGACCAGAAGAACATACGATATCATACAATACAGTCGGAGCTTTAAACGATGAGACAAGCCAGAGCAAAAGCAATCGTCTGTCCGTTTCGCTGTGTTCCCACAGAACAAGATACATGCACAAAGGACCTGGAATGGAAAGAACCGCGGGCGAGGCGGCGAACAAGTCATGTGAGCGCAACAGCCTTGATATTTGCTGATCCCTTGCTTGGCCCAAGCCCACCAATTCGAGGATCGGGTGGCAAAGCAAGGCCATTTAGTGCACAGAAACTCGGGAAAATTGCAGGTAAGCTTCAGTACCGGTCCAAGAACAACATCAATTCTGAAGCTCGTGTCTTGAACTGCTTTCAAGAGGGAACTGAGCAGGAATGCCATGAAGCTCAATGGACGAGACCAAGCGCTGCATGTTCTGATTGGCTATGGCTCCTCCTCTTCTCGGGCAGTTTCACCAGCCTCTGGTGGCCTTACAAGTGGCATCGATGCACACATACCACACAGAGGCAGCGACTCTGTCTGGACTCTCAGTCTAAGTTTCCGGCAAGGACACATTTGGACTTGGGCTGCGTGGGCTGGCAACAACCACGGAGCCTGCTTGCCGACGCTAGTGAGCTGGTGTGTCACATGTACTCTGCTGATCTCAATGCTACGAGCTTCGAGCCTGTCTCTGCAGGCCCCTGCACCGAGGTGCTCGTGGTTTCGGGATCTGGGCCAGCACTGGCGCCACTCTGTGCCTTGCCAGCTACGAGTCCACGCTCCAGGATTGCTTCCTATTGGGGCGGCATCTCTCGCTTGAGTTCCGCGCGGCGGCCCGTGGTTCGGGAACTTTCGTCCGGCCTAAACAACACCATCCGCTCTCTGCGCTTTTGCCGGAGGCGACTTCAAGCTTCCTGCTTGGCACTGACTCGCTCTGCACAGCCTGGAAACGGAAAGCGCAGGAGCGGAGAGACGGCGCGCTTTTGTTCGCGTTTGTTGGGGCCTCAAGGCGCTTCTCCAGGTCCTGCAGAATGTGCTACCAGTGGGGCAACTGGGCCTAACTCGGAAGTGCAATTAAAGGCAGCGACGTCTCCTCTGCTCGCTTCATCTGCTGCTGAAGGGCCCTGCGCAGCTCTTCCACCTTTCACAGCCAGAATACCTTGTCATTCCTTAGTCCTTCGACTGGCTACACGTGCCTCCCCGGCCGAGGATTGGCTTTCGGCTAGAGCCAATGCAGAGCGCAGACGGTCTTCGTGGCTAGCCAAGGCCTCATCCAGGTAGCAGAGCATAGCAGAGCCCCTGAGATCGCGACTTCACCCGCGCTTGTTCCAAATTGTCAGGCGGGTCAACCCATGCCTGGTGACAGCGCAAAACCAGATCAGTCTCAAACTGCACTGTAGGCCCTGCAGGCCACTGTGCCTTGCAAGAGCGCTGTGCCAGCCTTGTCAACCGACAGAACTTGCAGAAACAGAGGCAGGCGGACGTAGCTGAGAATCTTGCCATGCAAGCATATCTCGAATCGCTACAAGAGCTTCCGCATCCTGGCTCTTCAGCATCTGTTCACAGTTCGGATCCGGACGAATAGGAACGAAGACATGCTGACCACGCCTGAGCCTAACCACTTCACTGCGCTCGTCATCGCTAGATCCGAGTCCCAAAAAAACACCGGGTCCTGCTGCACCGATCTTGGACCGAAGTCGTGCAGAGAGTCATACACTGCCTTCAATCTGCAACAGCAAGAAACTCTTTCTGCAACAACTCTAGGCTCTAACTCTAACTCTGGAGCTTCCTGCACCCAAACGAGGATACGCTCCAAGGTCCTTGTGGAGGTTTTCAGTGCAACTGTGTTGAAAAACACTAAGACACGCTGTCAAAGACTCTGGGGAAGAAACGCATCGACTGCGTGCTGCAACAGCTGGTTCCGCTCCAGATGCTGCTGCCTTTCCTCCTGGCATGTTGGACAGCAGAGGTGAGGCAGGGCCGTTGGAAGACAGTCTCTAAAATCGAGAGCTCGAAGCTCGTGGCACTTGAACACAGGGCTGGCTTGCTGCAAAACTGAGCCGAACCATTCATGACCAGCCTTTGGAATTCGCCCTTTCAGTCTGCCCGAACACGTCGTGCAACTGTCTGATTTCATGTCTCGACACGTTTCGCTCCCTTTGCTCGTGGCGGCACAAATAGCATCCATGCAACATCATGCAACTGTGCAGCGTGCACGGTCCCCCTGCTGGTGTTTAATCTGCAGCATCCGAGCCTGCAGCATGACCATGTGTTTTTCCAAGTGCTCGTGATTCTGGGACGCCGTTTGAACCTGCCGGTGTCATATGCATGCTAGCAAGGGCTGGGCAGGCCCGCAGTTGGCCTTGATCTTCTCGGCTTCCACGTCAGCCTATGCCACATTTCTCACGACACCTCGTGCTTCCGCTTAGTGGGTACGGACCTTCTGGAAGTCCAGATACGGCACGAGCGCTGGAAACGAAGACGCTAGCGGTGAGGCCCTACCAGAGCAGAAATCTCCAATGATGGCTGACAGGCGACACTCTGCCTCGGTACGTCAGCTTCTGCTTCGGAATCCGTGCTGTCTTCCTTCACAGGTGCTCACGCCTCATCTTCTTGATCATCAAGAGGAGCACGTCAGTCCTCCTCTGAACGCCTCCGTGTGCTAACCTTTTTGATTTGCGGGGGTGTTGCAGAACTGTCCTGCCGAAGCTGCTCCACAATAACATACAGCCAATCTTGGCTAGTGGGTCCTGGTCACTGTGATTGGAGCTTCCCTGCAGCTTTTTCGGCGTGAATGGCAAAAGGATTCGGATGGTAAGAGGCCTGCCTGTGTTGGCACGCCGTCCGGTGTTGCACTCCTGACATCTTCAAGCAACCGACATCGAGCTGCTACAAGGAACCGTCTGCTGCTCCGGTCATGGTAGACCAACGCATTCTGTCGCCCTCTTTTCTAGCTGAGATTTTGCACACGGCCACTTTGCTGTATGAAGCGCAGCGGGAAAGCCAGGCATCGCAGGAATGGAGTGGAGTTAAGACAAGAGCTCGCATCACTCGATACTCTTAACCGAAGCTGACAGAGAGGTCATCGGAGGAGCCGGATCGAAATCCCGCAGCTCTTGACATCCAGGCGTTCATTGCTCAGCTTCTCCTTTTGGCAAAGTCCCCTCGGGGAAAGTAGTCAATAGCCTCCATGAGGTCTTCTGCAAACTTGGCAAAGTACCTGTCCTTCTCCAGTAGGCGCTCAAGGGCCTGGCGACGATCCTGGGCTTCATCCAGCGCGCAAAGGGCATCCTGGAAGGCTTCGCTCTGAAGAGCGCTTCTGACCCCGAGGTGACCTCGCAGCGCACAGAGCCTAACCTCAGAGATTAAGTCTTCGGGAGCCTCGGGCTCCTGCTCCTTTCGAGCTCGTTTTGGAATCTCTGCTTCCGGCCGCGCAGGGCATTGCCCGGCCGCATGGACACGATAGCATGGCAAAGAGCAATATCTCTCTCGACAGCAGGGAAACCGATACTTCACCTCAGCACAGCCACAAACGAAGCACTTCGCCATGGCGCAATGGCCACTTGAGCCAAAAGGCTGCTGTGGAAAAGCGCAGCCGTTAGAGCCTTCAACAACCCCAGTCACTTCACGAAAGTCCCCTGGCCCAGCCTCGACAAGTTTTGGGAAGGCCTCAAGACTGCTCAGTCTGAATTTCAAGCAGCATTGACGTTGGGAAACTGAGCTGAGTTGGAGCGGACGAAGAGGCATGAAGTTGGAGGTCAGGAAACTTCAGCATACTTACCGCAAGCTACTCGTTTGCTTTAATAAGCCTGTTGCTCCTTCCCTCAAGTCCTGATCGGCATCAAAATTGTGGTGCGCAAAATCCCTACATGCAGTCGATCCAATTCCGAGTACCCAAGCACAGTGTCCAGCCGCCCACTCTGCCGTCCACTGGGAGGCACATGCAAGCCTTGCAGGCATGTGCAAACCACCGGGAGGTGCCACGTGCTCCCTGCACGGAGCCTGCTGACCCCGCGCCCGCGGTCAACAGGAGCGAAGTCCTCGTCGTGGAGCTGGCGCCGCTCCTGAAAGCGGGAAACGAAAGCAGCTCCCGACTCGCCCCTTTGCACAGCTGTTCTGGGTAACCAGCAGATTCGTCTGATGACGCTCGAGCCTGCTGCTCTTACCATTCTAACGCTTGGGGCCCTGACCCTGACAAGTAATCTTGCTACTTGTAGGTTGGCATGCATCGGTGTTGCACCTTTTGGCTTCAGTCTTCTCCTTCAAGACATCACCACCTGAATTCCATGTCCAAATATCTAAAGCTCTGCTTCTGCCCCATGAATCCGAGCCCTAGGCCGATGCTGCCAAGACTTGTCGCCGGGCCAGAAGAAGGGACCTGCGGCATCGTGCGCGATCGCCGAGTCGCAGCAGGGCAAAGCTGCGGCAAAGCCTGGTCTGGCCCCAGAACGAAAGTGGAAAATGCCATCATTGGGGAGTTGGCACCGTCACCTGAGCACGGCTTCGAGCTGCATTGAAAGGAGCTTTTCAGGAGAAAGACTCGGAGTGCAGCGTAAATTTTCTTGTGCTCGACGCTCTTCCTCATCGCGTCGTTTGATCCGTTCCAAGGCCTTCGTCGACTGCTACTTGGAGTAGGACTGGGAATTTGTCTGCGATATTCTGAGGGGCACCTCTTCCAGCTGGGCGGTAAGCTTCTGCCCCTTCCTGTCTGCCTGACTCAAGCGCTTGACGAGATCACTGAAAGCACTTTCAAAAGAAGTCGTGCCTCCACTAAGCTTTGCTGCTTCTCGAGCACCTGGCCAACATGCCGAGACAACGCACAAATGCGATCCCAAAGAAGCTTGACCTCGGCCACCTTCTGCTCTTTCTCTTTTTGCAGTTCTGCCTGGGCAGCTTCGGCATGCTGCGTGCTTGATGCCATTCCTGGAACTAGCGGTGAGCCTCCTCGCGCAAGCCACGTTGCACCTTGGCATGGGCATTTCAAGTAGCACAAGCGTCAAGGAAAATCAACGTCTCAGATTGGGGCCATCCTTCTCAAGCCCTCAGCGTCATCCTCCAACTCGGCAATTCTGGCCTCCAGCAAAACAGATAAGGGAACGGTGTTGCCAGCTGACAGCATTCAAGCCAGCGGCTTCGAGTTCGCGTCGCTCCTGAGCTGCTTCTGTTGCTTCCGCGGCCTGCCTGACTCACGAAGCGTGATCAAAACACGTTCTCTTTACCACGAGCCTACAGCAACTGCCAAAAAATGATCAACAAAAGAAGCTGTACCTGACTGGAGACTGGAGTGCCTTTCTATGATCTGCACCAGCTTGTCCAGCGACGAGGATGCTGTTGAGGTCGCGGAATCTAGTAGGGCAGCACGCCTTTGAATGCATGCTGCTGCTGTTGTAAGAGCCTCGAACATGCATCCTGCCACCGCATAAGCCCCGGGGCTTCGACTCTCGCGATTCGGAAGACGTTTCGCAGGCATAAGCATGTAAAGTGTCAACCTTAACCAGCTACAAGTTGCACCCACCGATCCCTGATGTCCCAGATGCTCAGGCTAGTGCACACAAGGTCAACTCCTGCTTGGCGAAGTCTGCCTGGTGCAGTGAACCGTTGCTTTTCGTTGACGGCTGTGATGCGGAAGCTGACGGAGCCCCGCAGGCAGAGCTTTTGCATCGGTCCGGCGTGCGCTCGTGCGCCTCCACGAGCGCTGCTTTCAGAGCATCCGCATCCGCCTGGTCTTTGACTTTGACGGTGGGCTCCAACGGCGCGGAAGCCAGCGGCCTCGACTCGCACTTCGCGACTAACATGGCGGCTGAGTATCGGCTGAGTGCTCAACACGAGTTGCCCGGCATCCGCAAGATCGGAACTTTGATGGTCCTGCTAAAGTTGCAGCTGCTGGCGTCCCTGTGCATGGCCCCAGCTTTACCTCATGCGCGGTGATGAAGGTGTCACCCGCATTCGCGTACTGAGAGCCTGGCTTGCTTCGCCAGTAAGCGACAAACCGCAAGCACTGAAAATCCGAAAAGGTTTGCAGTTGTGCCCTGCCGATGCCTGCGCCCTCCAAGGCAAGCAACGTTTCCGCTTCGGGAGCTCGTGGGCGAGTCGCTTCTGCCTCTGTTCCTGCTCGCACGTGGAGTCCCATCTTGGCACGACAAATGTGCGCCATGCTGCTGCTGGAGGCCTGCTTCCGGCCGCTTCCTCTCTCTTTCTCCCGGTCCTTTCAACAAGCGTCAGCTTGTGCCCCTGCTTTGCACTGAGGCGTGATTTGGGCTGCGGCGGCTTCGGCGCAGGTTTTGCAGCCGGTTCTCAAAGGTTTCTTGCAAGGTCGCCGCCTGGCGGATCCGGGAAGCTCTTCAAACCCCGTGCCCGAGCCTTCTCGCAGGCTCAGGTCACACCTTCTGGCGGAGCGAAGGGGCAGGCCTGCAGAGAATTTCTCAGAGACTTTTCGATAGATCAGCAGCCTGTTCTGCCGGCCTTGTTACGGCCGCCGACAGTTTGTAGAAGCCCTCATGGATCACAGGACCGAGATCGCCATTACACCTTGCTATCAAGTTGGACTGGTCTGTCACTTTGCGGGAGCCACGGTGGTAGGATTGCAAGCGGCGTTTTTGTTTGGGTTTCTGGTTTTCTGCTTCTGAGCCAGAGTTCAGCTCACTGCTGAGCCCCTTAGCCGGTGAGACATGAGCGTGTCCGGGTGTCTTTGCAGACACAAGTCCCTTCATACTCCTGTACCAAACTGTACATCAGCACAGGAGTCACTCTGATTCGGCCTCCAAGCCGGTGAAGAAGACTTTGTTCTCTCGACGGACCTCTTTGACGTCAAGGATCTCAAGCAGCTCCCGAGGAGGAGCTGGCGCCGCGTAGCCCAGCTTGCTGTACAGCAGCCTAACCTCAGAAAGGGTCCTAGGGCCGACGTAGCACAGAGAGCACTGCTCGGCACATTTCACGTTGAGGGTCCGGCGCGCTTCAACGTCTCGGTGGAAAGCAGTCCCTTGAACATCCGAAATGCACCCATCTCGATGTCCCCAGCAGGATAGATGACCTCAGTGCACGGCGGCTCTCACAAGACTTGCGCACGCGGTACAAAATGACTGCAACTCAACAGGCGGAAGACGCACGGTGCAGAGCAGACGACGTGGCTGAAAGAAAGAACCATAAACGCAACTAACATTATCCAAACAGGAATCCCCAACAGAGCCGCAGCTGCGATCTCCAGAACAGGCGCGGATTCCAGCTCTTGAAGGCATCATGCCTCCACCCCGTTGGCAGCCAGCATCATGAGATATCATGAGCATCAGGAGCTCGGGATTCGCCGCCACCACCACCCCATGCCATGTGCCCTCTGTTCTGAGCGCTGAAACCACCCAGAGAGGGAGCTTTCGTCTAGTGCGAGCCAAGCAGCAAATCTCTGCAGGCGCTCCGGGAAGTAGGACTGCCGGGCTCTCAATGCGGAGCAACAAAAGAGAGAGCTGAGAGGGTGCGCTGAGCGCATCACAGCGCCCCTCCCGGCCTGGAACATCTTGGCCATGGCGGAGATGTGCGTCCAGAGTCGCCAGACGGGCTTTGCATCGTAGCCCAGCGCTTTGTGTGGCCGGCAGTCCAGAAGCACCGTGAAGCGCAACGTGTCCGCGCGCTCGACCTGAACACAAGCGAATCCGTCTCTCCCACGTACTCTCGATCGTACTCGTTTTTTACAAAGCCGTGGCACACCCTCTCGCCTCTGTGTCCAGGTGCCTGACCAGCTGCTGGCAGTAATTCTCCGGCTTGAAGTCCACGTTGATGCAACAGGGCAGCAGCAGAAGCAGCCGCGAGCCGTCCCGGGCAAAGCCGTTAAATCGGAATGGGTTGGGTAAGTCGTTTGGCGGCGCTGGCCACTTGGGGATGCCCCGTCGCCACTCGAGGTATGCACTAATGAGCTTCGCGGCCTTCTCCGGATTTCCAGAGACGCTCTTCCGCGCAAGGAACCGAGCCAATTCTGCGGACGGACACTCCGGGAAGTCGGCCTGAACAAAAACATCTTCAACTGCACCCTTTCCAACCTACCAGTCAGATTCTTTGAGCCCAATCACTCAGGCCTTGAGCTGATTGATAGCTTGCAGAGGCACATTGTAATGAGCAGCAATCTCACTGTCATTTCTTAGCTTTGGAATGACGAGCCCTAAACCTGTGCCGCAGCTGTTCCCAAGCTCGGAGTCCGAAAGGTCATCAATCGCATCGAAAAACTGCTCGAACATCTCGTCCATTGTCTCCGTCCTGCTTCGTGATTCCTCCTTCTTCTCTTCGGACGTCCTCTGTTGCGAACTGCGGCTTACTGGATCCTCACTGAAGTCCGAGTCATCGTCATCATCGAGGTATCCATAGACCGTAGCAGCCACTCGCTCGAAGCCCCGAGCCACAGGCCTCCAAGGACAGCACCTGCAACACCTTCCAGGTCAGAACATGCCAATAACATCTTAGGATAAAATACCCTTGCCTCCGCGGCCGCAGCGACCGCGGGGACCAAGCAAACGACATGGCATCCTACTGAGGGCATTCTTCAGCTTGAGGCAAGGCCTGGTATTCTGAGCTCTGCCATGCTCTGCCCATCTGCCCCGTGTGCTTCATGAAATGGCTCAGACGCTCACTCGTCCAGTGCCGAAAACTGGGAAAGCCGAAGTCTGCCCGCCTTGACCAAGGGCCTCAGAAGCTTGTAGAGCAATGAATCATCACCCGTCTGGCCAATGACACATCATGTGCTCACATATCCCTGACTCTTCTCTCCTGTAGCACACAGACAAGGAGAAGCTGCGAAGTCATGCCCTCCGCGCATTAGCGCGCCCTGGTAGGGGTAAAAAGTCGGTGTGAAAAGACTTGCGACAGACTCGGTCAGTCACCGAACCTCCCGCAGAAACCAGCTAATCTAAGTACCCCCAACCCGCCCGAAAGCTAAGCCCGAGACACCCCCTCTCTCTCTCTCTCTCTCTCTCTCTCTCAGCTCTCCAAGCTCCCTGTAGGTCGCTTATCAAGATGTGTTGTTCTTGCTGCTGCTTGCACACGATGTTGCTTCACAGCTTTCCGTGGATGCCTTTTGCTGTGTGAGCTGGCTTTGGTGAGGAGGGATATTGGAAGGCAGAAGACTTTTTGCAAGTTGTTTTTTACTGTCGTCATCGAAAATGGAGCTTGTTCGGGTTCGGTCTGTTTTGGTCGGCGTGGAAATCTTTGGTTAGCCCGCGGCCCCCCGCAAAAAAGATGCTGGCGAATCTGGGTCAGTCGTGCAGGAAGACCGTGGCCGCGAGCCCTCTTATATAAACATGCAGGTCTGGCTTGCGATTCCCCGAGCCTCAGACCCGTTCTGTGATTCTAGCTCATGCTTTGCAAGCTTGACCGCGTCGACGGCTCGAAATCCTGCATCCAAACATCGCCAGGTCGGCTTCAGAGACAAAAAGAACACACGACTATCTGAGCTCCCTGCTCTGCGGGCGCGGTGACGCGCTCTGTGCCTTCCCAAAGGGCTTGCGGCTGTGAACCTTCTGGCCCTGCAGGGACATCATGCACTCACAGAGCCAGGGTGGTGACCCGCGTGACTGACCTCCAATTCTGACTCGTTCCAAGGACGTCGTTCTCGAGGGGAGCTTTGCAGGCCTTACTACGGAGGCAAGCTGCCACATGTCGATCTGCGGGCATTCCACCCGACCTCCTCGAGCCGTCAGGGGAGCCTTCATGCTCTTCCACCTCAGCGAGCTAGGGACAGGCTGATGAAGCGCAGCACCACCGACAATGCCTCGCGCTGACCTCGCTCACGCATGGAGTCCGCCGTTCAGGAGGCCATACAACATGCCACAATTCGGTTCTGCGAAGTCTTCGTAATTACCTCGCATGAAACTAGTCAATCAGTGCTACACCTCGCTCCTCAATCTTCCCTGATTTCCTGTCTGGAAAACATGCAACCCATAGACAGATGAATGCCATGACAACACGGGGTTGTACTCGCATGTTGCAACACTTGGGTCCAACTGCCAGCGCAAAACTGGCAGTGCTGTGCATGTCAGTGATCTGGCGTTGCTATGCATATCGCCTTTTCTCAAGCAGGCAACTTCGCAGTTCCCAGGTAGGCGATGGTCAGAAAGATACTCAAAGCGGCTTGCAGAAACTTGGAGTCTTAGGGGAGCATTCCTGAATTGCCAGGGACCTGCAGAACTTCGAGTCTCAGATCCACGGAACTCCAAGCTTCTCTGCCAAGTGGCCGACAGCACCGTCTGAAAGGCTGAAAAGACTTCCCAATACGCTTGAACCTGAAAGCTGGGAACTCTCCGCCACGTCGGCTTGCATCATCTTACCGGAGCCTCTCTGTTGATCCGATTTAGCCGCTTTAGCTCAGAGGCGTGATGCAAGCCCGAGCAGGCTGGAACTTGAAAACATTGAAAACCTGCTAAATGGAGGGCTTCACCGAAATGATGCTCGGTGAAGCGACAAAACCTGGCACCTCGGTACTGAATACCAGACATGAATTAGGAGAGAAGCCGAGGCGAGCCCGAGCCGAGTCTTACATGTGCTCCTGCTCTTGTCCTCTCTGCAGTCTTCGATCTGACTCGGCCTCCCCTGAAACCTTGCATGGCCTCATGGCCTGCAGTCTGACAGAAGTCCGATCGAATGCGGTTACCCGATGGTGCTTTCAGAACTGCGTCACACTGCACACGACTGGAAATGAAGGCCTGCACAAGCGTGCCAGAGCCACCTGAGACACCCGCTTGATGCTTCAGAAGATGGGCAATAAGATCTGAAGTCAAGAATCTGCTTGTCGTCAAGTCCGAACCCGGAATTTTCGCTGTAGTCGCTGGAATAGACTATGCAAAACTTATATTGTCTTGCCCAGCTTGCTGTTGCGAGCCTGGATACACCTGACCTGGAATCTAACCTGCCTGTCGAAGGAAACTGCAACTGAGGCAAACTGCTTGTTTCGCAATCTACTGTTGTGCTATCTCTGCAGTTTCCTTACAATGCACACCTCATCCAGACAGTGTAGGACGGACTTGCTTTGCCGGGATTTTCGAGGAGCTGAGGACTGCGTGGTTCGAAAGCTGTCTGGATGCATCTGAGATTGGTCACCTTGACATGAAACCTGACGGAAGCACTGATATCAGGTCTGCGCTGAAACGTGGGCATGGGTTATATGATGGGTTACACGGTTACAGCTGGAGATCACTCAGCTTGCAGACCTGGACTGACACCTGTTTGCACCTTGCACTGAGCACTGAGACTGGAAACCTTGCCTGACAGCTGCTGACTGCTTGCAGCTTCCATTGGCCACTCCAAGCAATGAGTACTTCGACTATGAGAAGCAATGCAGGATTGAATCGAAGCTGCAGCCTGTGTCTTGATACCTGGCCACCTCTACATGTTGGGCAGGGATAGCCTGCCTGAGCCTCACGTGGCCACATAGCCTCAGCTCTTACCTGGGAGTTGTATGAGCTCGTTGCTGCATCCCTGCCCTGCCTGCAAACCTGAAACTGGTGTGAGGAAGAACCCTGGCATGGCTTTCAGCTGCGGCGCGCGAACACATGAACAAGTACAGCAGGATGGGGAACCATGACCCAGCCATGCCAGGGCTCCTGCAACCTAAGTAAGCCTGACAGTGAAACCTTGTGAATGCTGGAAGCCCATCTTGTCATGCTCTGGGACTTCTCCAAAAAAATGTAAACATGGATGGGCAACACGACCTGGAGATTGAAAGCTCGAGTTTCGCATGGTCCAAGGCTTCAGTAGGTGACAATGTAAGGACAGCCTGGACCCTTAACGAAACCATGTACCTTTCTGTACCTGACTTGCACCAGACTGCACCAGCTTGCAGAGCTGTTCCAAAGACACTGCGAGCATCCACTTCCAAAGAGACTGCATGCTGTGTTAGACCATGGACGTGCTCCGCAGGCCGGCGTTGACCTCATGGTGTCTGGTGTCTGGTGGATCAACACCAGACACCCAAGCGGAAGAGGCCGCCTCATCAAACAGAGGCGCTTGGCCTGGGGCTCGTGCAGCCAAAAGCTGCTGCAAGTACCTCGGCTGCGAGTGCAAAAAATCTCATGCTGCATGCTGCTTGCAGATGATCTCCAGCTGAGCCCCGCACCTAGAAACCTAGTGTGAAAAGCTGCTGGCCAGTTCGCGAAGAAACAGAACTACAAGCTCTGGAGTCACTGTCGTGACCGCAAAAAGCAAAGCCACAAGACCTAGCCCTTCGTCCAACATGGCACGTGCTGCTGAATTGGAAAACCCAGCATTGTTGCGGCTGTTAGCGCATTGGAGTCTAGAAACTGAACTCGGCACGCTGCAAGACCTTAGAACATAGTGCAAAGGACGAAGGGCGGCTTGTTGCAATTGACAACTACACTATGACTGAAACGGAGGCCAGCTGGCTCAGGAGCCTGGTGGCACTCAGGTCCCTTGAGAGGTCTGCGCTGAGAACTGCTGTCAGCCCTGCCGGCCCGGCCTAGGCATTGTACCTGACCACTCTTCAATGGCGCTCCACTCTTACCTCTGACTCTAACCTGGATAACCTGGGCTCACGTGATGACGGTCGAACTGATGGACGCCCGACACAAAGGGCAGCTATTCACCTGAACAGCACTGTCTTCAAGTGCATAAAATCCACTTGCCGTGCATCCACGATGTCTGTGGGTAACTAATGGTCGTGTGAATGGCTGTCATGCTTGGCCTTGCTGCCCCTGCTGCTTGAGAAGCTTCTTCCGTCGCTCTCGCTGTTGGGCATGTATCCCCAAGGCCCTGCAATGTACAAGCTGGTACGCCTGGTCGAGGCATCTCGAACACACGGCTCGGTGCTGGCAATCTAGGATGACCTGCGGTCAGCGAGTCGGCGAAGGATGACACTCTTCCATGTCGGGGTCCTGTCTGAGTTTCTGGCCGTGTTGATCTCGCGCTCGTAACAAATTTTGCAAAGATGGCCTGGGAACAACCCGAGACAACATGTCCATAAGTCTATTATGGCGGGGGCACTTTCAAGAACGTAGTAACCCTGGAATCCGGCGTTCTTGCTCGGCTTCAAGGCGCTTCTGAAGTTCCAGAACCTGCGCGAGGAGAAAAACAGGAGCTGGATATCTCTGGAAGAATATCTCATCTCGCTCTCGCAGAGCCTGCAGCCGGAGCCTGGTCACTTCCTTGATGTTCTCTGGCTGGGGACCTGCCCAAAACCACGGCATCAGCCGTCTCGGGCCGTCTCTCGCGTGTGTTCTTGCATTTCCGGTCCTTCCACCTCTCCAATTTCTGGCTCCGCGGCGGCCTTGGGAAGACCACAGGCAACTCCGCGAGTAGCGACAGGCAGTTCACCGCCTCTGCATCACCTTCACCGGTTCCCTGCAAGCGCCGCCTCAGACAGGGACACATCTCACTTCGAGCACGGCTTGCAAAGTACAGCATCACGTCCCTCGGCCTCCGTTTCTCATCACGCGGCAGCTGTTCGGGGAGGGCCTGCACTTGCTAAGGACAAACAGGCATGCTAGTCCACGCACCCAGTCGCAGACAGCGGCTGCAAAACGGAAACTGGGCCCCAGACAATCTTGTACATGTCGTTCCGTCGCGTGCCATCGAACTCACAATGCAACAGGTCGGCTCTCGCAGCCTTTGAAGCGCTGAGGCCGAGGCCCCTCCAAGGATGTACATACAGCCTCCATACCTGGTAACATCAGGGGATGTGAGCAGTGGGCGCTTAACTGAAAGCAATACTGCAACCAGCAAAGATGAGCTTGGGTCATGCAGGCCCGATGGAAGGTTCTCGCAGATGGTGGATCACCCGACTGAGGGCAAGGTCAATACCATGTCCATGGTCGCTTACATCTTTCCGTCTGGTCCAAGCACCACTCAGAACCCAGGCTGCGACAGTCTTCACCCGAGACCATGACCTATGCTTCATGTGACTTCCACACTCCATCGACATTTGGCACTCCAGGTTTGAATCTCTTCGCTGGTCGGGCTCCGGCCGAGTGTCAAAACTGAACTCGCACAAGTCGGAGAAGCGTGCCTGTCGCTGAGAAGCACGGGACGGGGTGGGCAAAACGGCATCCCCGGCCTGGCGTTTGTCCACCCCACCGAAAACGAACATGCAACAGCCGTGGACCACCGCGCTATGACGATAGCGAGACCTTCACAAAAACTCTCTCATTCGCCCTTCGTTTCTCTCAAAATTCCAACCGAGGCCGGGGGTCCCACGGAGGAACATCGCCTCGTCCAGGAACAGCATACCTATGCGCAAGAGAGTCGTTTAAGTCATTCTCCCCAAAATTTGAGAGGCTGCGCGTTGCACCATTGGTTCGTAGTGATGGAAAACTCGTACAGGTCATCCAGTGTGTCATGGCCATCCCACCCGCCGAACACAAACCTGCGCGGCAGGAACTGTCCAGCAACGACGAAGTTTCAAGAGCAAACTCTTGGCTCCCAACATGCCAGACTGGTACACGACGGCTGAGTGTCCGAAGCGGCCAACCGGCACATTGTCGGTGTCCGTTACCTTTCAGACATGCATCTTCGTCGCTCTGCTGCAGTGGTCGAGCCTTCCCACCTGCATCCATTCCCTTTCTTCCGTGTTAAAGAGATGCAGATCCTGGATACTAGAGTCAGGCAGGCAATCTGCAAGCAGAACAAGCACCTCGCCGCCGGTCAAGAAGTTCCTGCCTGAAAACGAGTACGTCCGTCAAAGCCACCGAAAATGTACAGACTTGCCTGATCAAGGAGGGCGACACCGCGCGAACGAATAAGCCTTTTAAGTAAAACCAGCAACCAACCTCGAACACCACGCAGGAATGATCTGTTCGCACTGATGGCTTTTGTGCTGCATCAACGCCTGGTAAGAGGTGATAAAGAACACAACTTGACACCTTAATGACAACTGAGACACTTGCGGGTCCAGTGAGCTTTGGGAATGTTGAACTCGAAGAGGTCGTTGAAATAGTCTCCATCCTGCTGGTTCTCGGAATCGTGCTATGTAGAAGCGGGCAGAGCGACCGACTGAAGGTAAAAAAACAGTCAAGCGGGAACAAGAAAGCACGAGCCAGCAAGCAAGACAGCACGAATCAACAAGCATGAAGCACAAATCAAGAGAAGAGCCAGTTCCGCTTAGGTGAAGGTAGTTAAGGTTACGTTTTCGAAGACAAGTATAAGCTATTTCAATTCAAGTTGACGTAGTTGGCTCGGCTTGAAAGCGGTGTATGTTAGGTTTAGGTTCAGGTTGGGGTCGGTTTTGGGCCTAGTTGCAATTCTAGTCTAGGTTAGGTTCGGTTAATAAGTATAGGTCCACTTCAGGTCGTATTCGGTTGAGACATGGGCTGAGCCGACTTAACCTGACCCAGGCAAAGCCCACCTCACCCATACTTTGTCCTACCTTCACTGGGCCTGATTTTGTCAGGTCGACTTAATGCTTGACTTCCTTGTGCTGGTTTAGGGCCAGCTGCGAACACTCATGGAACTGAATCACCCATTTTTCTGGTGTGTGTGTGTGTATATATATATATATTAATATGTGTATATATGTGTGTGTGTGTTGCAGGCGTTGCAGTCGAGCAACTGTATGTTGTGTTTATTGCTGCCCTGGAGCAGCGCTGGCACGTCGGATGCGACTATGACGTTATCGATCCGCATTGTTCAACCCTGTTCAGGATGCCAATGTGTCCCGCTGCAAGCCGTGACCTCTCTGTGTGAGCGGGGTACCATGCAGTCGTGGGTTGCCGGGCTGGCAAACCTGCATGCCGGGCTGGCTGTGTTCAGGCATGGCGTGCATGGCCGTGCTGTCTGAGAATCCGACTGTCGCCGTTACTTGCCTACGGTGCCTGACCCTGGCCATGAATGCGGGTAGAACTCCAACTTGTAAGGCATTCTCCTTCTTGGTGTAGCCACCGAAGAAGAAAATGCTGTCTCGGCATACCACAGCCTGAACTGCGAGTTAAAGCCAGTTAAAGCTGCTATGCGAGCAGCGTGGTTTCTATGCAACGACACATTGCCAAACACGAACTCTTGACTCCCTTGACCTTGGATCCAGATCGCGCCGAAGGCGGACTGCCAGTCACAGGGTCGATGCAAGCCCATGTCCTGCATGGGGGGCTCACAGGCTAGCGGCCGAGCGCATAGATGATCTTCACAGGCCAGGAGCACTTGTGACGAACATCGTACCGGTAAATGTCGTTCTGCCGGGCATTTTCATCAGTGCCTGCACACGGCACCACATTGCTTCACAGCTGCTGCTTGTCTCTCGTGCGCATGCAATTTGCTGCAGGCAGGCGAGACACTCCGAATTTCTTGAACTCACTGATGAAGCTTTGGGTGAGACTTCCCAGCGCAGTGCATGGCCCTGGCGATAAGCAGTGCTACTCATCTCCTGGCTGGCAAGAAAATGGTCATGGAGTAAAGACTCAGGATCGCAGGAGCGACTCGGGTCGACACGTGAAGCCGTGAAGTGCACCTGCGGGCTGCGAAACCTGTTTCACCTTGCGGCCAATCATGAAGCAGCTGAGTCGGAGTCACCGAGCAATGGCAGCACGTCTCGCAACCCCTTCTGCCACTGGGGGTCTGTGCGAAGGCTGTCAACTGCAGCAGCCATCACACCAGCGACACTATCCTGGCATGCACTAGGCCCTCTAGGCCATCAGGCCAAATTCTTATCCCTCCTTCACATCTCGAGCTAGGCTAAGGCACCAGGGGTCACTAGGGTTCATGTCGTGCCGCCCCCGTCGCGCTAAGTGAGAAGCATGCGAGAGCAGGACACCCACCTGCTCGTAGCCCGACAAGCCTGGGCCGGTCACGACGTGTCGCCCCTCCGGCCACTTCCCTGCCCTCTTCTTCCGGAATGTGTCACGGTGCTTCAGCCATGATGCACCAGGCATTATCTAGCGCCCTCGCATTTCGCGAGGCGTCATGAGTGAAACTGCTTCGAAATCTAGGACTACTGCAACTTCGACTTGGTCCGTGTCTTTCCAGACTCCTCCTTGGTTCCCAGCTTGGTTCCAGTGCGGCTAAGGCTAGCAGTCTCCAGCTTGGTGCCGGCATTGGACTTCGTGCCCTGATTTGACTTGGTGCCAGCTTTGGAGCCGGGCTTGGAGGCAAGCTTGGAGGCGGCCTCCTCCTCCTCCTCCTTCTGCAGCTGCTCGCAGAGGACTTGGTCATCGGACTTCACTGGTCTCGGTGGACCCAAAATGTCCACCAAGACCTGCACCCAGTCCATGAGCTCCCGCTCACGCTGTCGTCCATCCTCGGTTCCTTCGCAGGCGGCGAAATGGCCCATCGACTGCAGAGCCTTTATGAGGTCCACATAGCTTCTCATCAGCTTTGCACGGGCACCGGGACAAACGGAGGCCAAGTGGCTCACGGCATTGCTTCCTGCTACCATGGTTCCGTGCAGACAGCTGGTCGCTAGCATGGCCTCGAGAATGGCATCCACGAATGGCTCGACCACCAATGCGTGTTTCTGACAGATCCGCTCAAAGATTCGAAGTCCCCACAGGGCTGCTTCGGAGGAGCCACCCTCCTCTCTAAGCCCACGAGCCACGGCCGATGCAGTGAGGGCGGGCAGCCGCCCGAGCTTCTCAGGAGAGAGCAGATCCGTCAAGTCCTGGTGGCCGTGGCCGGAGTCGCTCTGAAGCAAGGCGAAGGCGCAGAACAATGCGTCTTGCTCCAGTGACTTCGCCTCGGAGGGAGGAGAGGCTGCAGCAAGAGAGAAGGACGGAAGGGCAGAAAGCAACAGCATTTTGGACATGGTCGGCGGCCTGCGAGAGATCGTCTGCTCCCAAGGCCCAAAGAACTGCCGTCGCTGCTCCTCCGTCGACCCCTCTCGCAGCAAATCGCTCGTCCACGTTGCAGATTGCACCGAGGGCAGCCAAGCCCCAGCGCTGCATGCTCGGGTCCTTTTCATGCCGTCTCAAGGTGCTGATGATCACGTCGATGATCCCACCCTCGATGCATGCACTTGGAAATGCGTCCAAGACGACAGAAGGAGGCTGCACAGAGGCAATGCTGCGGAGGAAGGCCAAAAGCTTCTGCTTCAAACCAATCCGAGAACTGCACAGGAGAGTGTCACAAAGAGCTTGCTCGAGCTGAAACTGGCTGATAATCTGCAGCACTTCGAGCTTGAGGTCGTTGCACCGGAAGGTGATGTAGAGGAGCGCTTCAGCTGCGGCTTCGATCACAGACTCTCCGGCTCTCGCTCCTGAAAACATCTCCAGTAGCTTCACAAAGAGCTGATGCTCAGCCCCAAGAGCTTGGAGAGTCCCGTGTGACGCCACTTGTGAGACCATGTGACACGCAGCCTCGGCAGCGGCCTCTGCAGCCTCGCCTTGTCTCAGCTCGAGGCTCTCAAAGGCAGAGTGGATCAGCTGAAGCAATGAAGCCCAGTTCTGCGTGCCTGCTGAGCACTCGTCCCTACAGATCGCACAGCGCGATGCACAACTCGCGAAGAAAGAAAGTATCGCCGCCAGCAAGTGGGGATGATCAGAGTTAGAGAAGCCACCAAGAAGCCTCTCTGTCAGCTTCATGACTTCTTGGAACGCCTCGTTCATCGTGCCAGCCCAGCGTTGAGCAGGAGACTCAGCAGCCAGAGCTTGGAGGAGCCACAAGGCTTGCAATGCGAGTCGTTCCTGCCCTCGCTCACGAGAGGTCACTATGGTCAGTGTCTTGAGAAGCATTTCTGCGCCTCCCTTGACCAGAATTTCTTCAATGGCAGCTGGCCTGTGAGATCGCATCGTCTCGGCGCCTACGAACTCCGTGAGCTCCCAGAACAGGTGACTAGCCAACTCAACACTTTCCGGAGGTGACGGGCCCCAAAAAAGCACCTTATGACATGGCAAGTCCTCCAGCCCAGCTTCTGGGCAAGGCTGCAAAAAGGCTTCCACGCCTCGAGGGGCTTCTGGCATGTAACCTGCCAACCAACGGGCAAGAGGCGGCCCACCACTTGACCCAGGCATGGCATCACCCTCCCATGCCGCAACACCCCGCAGTCGCCGAGCTGGCCTCAACCACATCCTGGCTGAGCCAGGTGCATCCGAGACCACCAGCCGGGCACCTGCACACGAGACCCCCGTACCCCCATTTAGCGAAGCTTCAATTTTCAAGCTCCATCCTTTTTTTCCATGATCTGTTGTCGTGAAGCGTTGCATTCAGTCCCGGCACGGCCTGATTGCTTGGCCACTCGCAGCCTGCCTTTGTCCTCTCATCAGACCGTTCTCAAAACGATGGAGAAGTGTTAAAGGGCCCCTGAACTCGGACATGCAAAGAGAGAGCTTCTCTCATTTTCGATTCGTGTTGTGCCTGGCTTTGGGGGACCAGGAGACACTTTCTGCAGCCGCCTACAGCCGCCCGCACTCATGGGGACAGCATCAACACGTGTTTCAGACAACAATTTCACCAGACGGAGCCCTGCATGCACCTGGAACGCCATCCTCAACACCCACTGGAGGCAGAATAGAATCAGGCTCGAGAATGCAGACCTTCGACTCCTGGTTGACATTGGTCCATGTAAGGGCCCATGCGCCGCCCTCAATCGAGAAGCCGAAATAATAGATCAATGCATCCCTGACCCGGGTCACAGGGTTCAGGTGCCGCCGCCAGAACTGCGGAATCAGCGCCACTGGATCGAAGCTGGCATCAAGATCGTCGCAGCAGTCGAGATGCTCGATGCACTCCTCAGGAACACCAGCCTCCAGCAAAGCTGTGGTGACAAGCTCCACTGCGATCTTCGACTGCTCCCGGTACCGACTGCGGCTTCGATTGATGTACTTGCCACCCGGCAGCAGCAGCTTCGGACCGTCCTCGAACGGGCCGCCGACTTGCCATGCCGCACCGTCACCTGTCAAGCTCACTAAGCTCACTACTGACGACTGAGCCTCTGCACTAACGTGGCACGTCTTGCAACCCGAGTCTTCCTGCGACCAGGCTGCATTCCGAAGTGATGAGCAGGGCCGCGCCGAAACGCTTTAAGTCCACAAGTTGCTGCAGGGGGCTGATTCCCCGCCACGTGACTTTCGAACTCAAGAAGGAGCTACTGGATCCAGTGAGCATAGTGTCCGGTGCACGACCTACAGCTTAGCATGTCCACTGTCACTGTATCGATCATCTGGAAGGCCAGCAGTAGCGTCAATGGCTGTGCGGCGCATCTACAAAGATTGGACACGACCAAGTCTCTAGCTATGGCACTGGAAAGAGTGCATGCATTCAGAGTAGCTTTCTTCACAATGCAAGTGCCGTTCCTCGATGTCCATGGCTTTCTCACACATGCACTCGAGAAACAAAGACGGGTCAATCATGCTTCAGATGGGTGCATGGTTGCCATATACATGTTCGAGAAAATCACCAACAGCGTGCATTCAATGGCAAATTGGTCGTAATCTCCATTCCTGCACCCTCAGAAACACCCGTGTGAATGCAACTGCCCTTAAAGCTGTTGGAGTATTCAGCCCTCTCCATCTGCAGGCATGCAGGTTGTGTCGACCAGGTCTCATGATACTGAGTTCGTCGTTGCCCGGCACCCAACAGCATGGCCAACTTGGCCCTGAGGCCACTGACGAAGTGATGTGCCAGCCTCTGCGTCCGCCTGCAGTGCTCGAGGGCCGCTCGAGTGGCCGCCAAAACTAACGCTCGTGCAGCAGCCGTTTTTAGCCACGTGCCTCTGCCGTTGCGAAGGTGTCGGGCCTGTGGCCCCAGGACCAAATTGACACTCACAGCTTCCAAAGGCATCATCGTGTTGTGCTGCCTGCACGGAGACAATTCGGAAGAATGAAAGGAGATGTCGCCGTGCCGATGCCATCGCAGTGAGTTTTCTGTGCCTGCACCCAATCTCGTCGACTGACGATTGCAAGTGACTTCAACCGTGACGCCAGGCAAGGAGACCTCCAATACCCATGGCCGGCTGGTCTGACTCCACTTCTGCAGAGCATAAGCCGTCGATTCCTGCTGCTTTCGCAAGTAACAACTCGTTGCGAGTTGGGAGCATTGGTTCCTGTCAAGAGATCATCGATGGACGAGTCAGCGGAACAGATCAGGCGGCACCTGCAATGTGCACATTGTTCGATGAATACTCAAGCTTTGCAGACAGAAAGCACTGTCCAAGAGCCGTGCTGCTGCTCGTACAGAGCATCCACGAAGTTTGTGAAGCGACGTGCCTGAAGTCCACGGTTAACCATGCCCAGTCAATCGTGCCCAATTGCTGCAAGAATCATCTGCTGATTAGCTGTCCGGCAGCATCTCACCTCGTTGTGCAGGTTCAATCCGAACTGAGGGACACCAGAGACCACGAACGTGTGAATGCCTGCACAACCGGGACTTCAGTGCAAGCCTGACATATCATGTCACATTTGCAGCCTGCACTTCGGATCAGTGCCAAATAGTCCTCCGAGCTCAAAGGGTTTCCTGCCAGAGCAGGCTGGAGATAGCATTTCGCAGCCGTTTTGCTGCTGTGCGAGGGCACCACAAAGTTCTTCGAAGGTGAACTTGGCGACGCCATTGGCAACATGCTGGCACAACCTCGCACACAGAGCCGGACTCTAATGCACATCCTTTCACCAGAACCTGCCCAAAAAAAGGAGACAGCAAATTGCGGGCGATCAAAGAGCATGACATGGAGCGTCCCCAAGCAATCCGCAAGAGCATGGGGCGCACCTTACACAAAACAACACTAGGAAGCATTACATGTCTCTGTACATCGAGGCAGGCACTGCTTGCTCCTCACAAGCAACTCGAAAAGCAGCCTCCAAACGCTCGTTGGCTCCTGCAGAGACGGGGACGTTCAGCTGTTTCTGTTGTAGCTGTGTGACATGTGTCATGTTCGTTCTTAAATTTTGTGCCCATTGTGTGTCCATCTGCATGTAAGTATCCAGGTTTGTTCAACTAAATATCTCGGTGGATTTATGCAACTCTCACGCATCTCGGGCTGTGAAGGAACAGACAAATGAGTCAGCTGGGGCGGTCCTCAGACTGGAAATTTCAGCTCCCACTGTGAGAAGCATTAAAGCCAACCATCACTTGCATGGGACGTGACTGTGCAGTGCTGTATAACCTGTGAGGGTCGGCAATTTGCCATATCAGCACGGCTCTGCAGCACACCCCTATCACTTGGACGACTTGCAGAAAGCAATCATTTTTTGCCTTTCAGCTTCTGAGAAAGGGAGTGTGCGAAGAGGGATGTCAAAAGATCCAGCACAAGCACGGCAATTTGTGAAGCACGAAGAGGGAGAGGTCATGGCCAGCTCGGGCCGAGACCTTGCTGCATGTAACAGAACAGTATACTGGGCATTCATGCCTGTGCGGTATGCAAGTATGTATGTACGTATGCATGTATGTATGTATTCACGCATTCAGCATTTCCGCATCCACGTGCGAATGCAGGTACGGATGTACATACATACATACATACATACATACATAAATACACACATGCATGCATACGTGCATACATACATGCCGGCCGGTCTACCTACCTCCGCGCCTACCTGCTTACTTACGTGCATACATATTACGTACACACAATGATACACATTGCAACTAGCATGCTTGCTTTGACGTACTAGTTCTGCTTCTTGTATATATTCAATATTCGCCTGCACCCAAGATGTAGTCGGATTGGTCTGTCGAAATATCGCTGGCCGCCTGGCGAGATGGAGACCCATCAACACCAAAGCTGCCCTGCAGTGGGGGGCCACCCTGACACGGTAGTCTGTGTCAGCATCCAGGTGACGGACCTGCCCAAACTGTGAAGCGAAGCATGCAGGTCATTGGCTGCTCCTGCCTCCAAAGCCGATTGCAGCAGGGATTCAAAAGCGGGTAGGTGAGCATCTCGACCGATCCCTCCCTTGTACAACCTGGTTGAACATTTCTTACGGAGAACGTTTCAGCTGTAATACAACATATGAGAGGAGCACTCGTTTGGAGATCGGTTGGAGGTTATGACCACAGCGACCTCGCGTGTCAATAGGTCACCTGGCGATGATCTGACGCACCATCAGACAAGGTTCGAACCTCAACAGTGGCTGGGACTGAACAGCGGCGTCAAGAGCCTCAGCACTGGCAGCAATACAAGCCTTGTCATAGAGACGCTCTCGGAGGTTGACAGGCTGAAGCGAAAGCTAATGCAGCTGCCTGTTTGGGCATGATTGGGTATGCTTGACTGGCCCCTCACATGATCGCGGGGGCATGTGTTTAGTTTCCCGTCTTATTTTTCGATGGTACAAAGAAGCGACAAAAGTACAAAAAATGGCATGCACAACTGCGGCAATGCGCAGCATGCATGCATGTCACAACGTCAATGATTTGGAAGTGATCCACACTAGAATCGCCGTTGCTCGTCATGTCCGACACGGCAATCGTGACTGTGTTTCTACGAAAGTCAGCACGGGCAGGCAGCAGGCTGTTCACAACGACTGTGAGATGTCATTTCACGTTTTTGCCCAAGGCAAAACTGCAATGCCCCCCTACTCTTCGTCATCGCATCCTACTGCATTGTCGTCAGCTCGTCCAATGCATACGGGGAATGCGAAGTCCTCTGCAATGTTCTAACCAGAAAGAGAAGGATCATCCAGCCTTAAGTGCGAGTCTGTTTGCTCGCCCCGGGTGGAGGTTTCTGCAACATAAGATACAACACTTCCCAAAACACGGCTGTTTCGAGCAGAAGAGATGTCACGATTTGTTTGTTGAAAATGCCATTAAACGAAAACCGGCTTAGTCTTTGTCTGCCACCAGTGTTTTCGCGGTGCCTCTGCCTCGGGTGCCAGGAAGCTAGATTTCGTTCCGCAGCCCAAGAGCTCGCCCATTGGAGAACACTGAATGCCAATCGCAGTAACGACACCGAGTAATACTTCAGTTCAGGCAGCGAGAGAACTGAGTCAGAGGTGCGTAAACCAGCATGTCAGACCGACAGAGAAACCGAGCCGCTGTCGATGCATCTGCGATTGTAGTGATTTGAAACCTCGTCGTTTGCGCCCAACGTGAACGGACAATCTCTCAATATCATCTGCTGCGAGTTTCCGTGCTGGGCTGAGGACTCATCGAAACAGAGCACAGGCGGCTGACCACACATGACCTGAAAGCACTCGCAAACAGTCGCGCAGTCGTCCATATAGTTTTGCAAAACAACACCCAACCGGGGCCCGGACGACATCGACTGCAGCGGCTAACCCAGATTGGCCCCCTGAGCGATGGAGCTGGCGGTGCAGGTCATGTATGAACCTGGAGCTCGGCTCAGCGATGAGGGAAAGGAACATGAAAGGATGCAGAAAAGAGCACTGCACCCCGAGCTGAGAAACCCTCTCGTGAAAATGAACTCGCCGGAGCTGCGCCTCGCTCCACACGGTCTTTGCCACGTTAGCTGAAGAGAAGGCAAATCACCCTACCGATGCAGAAAATTCCGACCTTTGACGGCAAGGTGCCCATCCCGACCAAGTTCTTTGTGGGCTGGAGGGACAATGCCTTTTGGAGAGCGTCCCTCGCAGAGAGCAAGATGGGCCGCGACCAGCCGAGCACTGCACGAAGACGTCCATGAGAAGAGTCTTGCCACGGCCAACCTGCACAACAGAGCTCCAGTGAACGCTGTGTGAAGACTGTGAACATGCCTGGACGCCTGGGGCCGCCTGGCCTGCCCCCAAATGTAGCAGCCTCTGCTTCGTAACGATGGCCTTGCTCACAGAAATCGTGTGGGCTTCACACCGGTCCTGCTTTGATAAAGGCCGGACTTTGTTGGCTCTGCAGGAAGGACCAAAGGAGCCTTTCATACAATCAATTCGAACGACATACAAGCACTTCGAACGACAGCACACCCACCTCGGGGAAGTCAGACTTCTCATTCTTTCGGTCGTGGCTCTGGTTCTGCTCCAGCTGCCGCCGCTGCTCGTGCGCAGCTACTCTGCGAGCGCATTCGGCCTTCGAAAACTGCCAAGTCTACTGTCAAGTCCACACCTGCAAGAAAATCCCGAGCAACCAGCCTCCCACTCCATGTGTGATTGCTTCCACAGGTCGTATGCCTACTCGTCGGTTTTGATTCGCACAGCAAGCACCCCTGCAACACAACTGCAGCACCTTGGAGTACGCCCGCGTTGAGCTCCACACCTTGAGCACACAGGCAAGATTTCAATCCGTCACGTGCTCGCCCGTGCTTGCCCTTTCCCTGTGTCTCACATCGCCTTCGCTCACGGCAGTCGTTCTCGCTTTTTGCACTCGGCTTCGCTGCTTTCAGGGGCTCCGCAATTTTCCTGCTCAGGCGTAACCATCCTGCGGGTCTCAAGCAACTGTCGGAAAGTCAGCGAAATACGACAGTAGTCGCTTCCTCGCTTCATCTCAGTTCCGTCTCGCAGACGAACTAGCCTCGAGCGCCGAATGCCGTGGCGGTAAGCGTACCTGCTCTGGCCCTGGAGCACCAGGAGGCTTCTGGGCTCCAGAAGGACTTTCACCCAGTTGCCATGGTCTACACCATCTCCAGGAGCCTCTTTAGAATTCTTGACCTCAGAAGCAACGGAAAGCGTCATCTGAACAGGCTGCAGCAACGACAGCGTGGCCAGATTCGGCCCGAAGGAAGTTGGATCTTCTACATGAGCAGCAATGCCGGTGGTGCCGGTGTACTTATTTGCTGCAACTTGGTTGAGCTCGCCTGTGAGAAACACACCAGTATCGACGAGACGTGGCAGCAACCACGAAGGCAAATCTGTTAGAGCGCGACCCTGTTGCATCTCAGTGCTTGCCGGTTGCAGGCTGGCCATATGGTGGCGCGTTTGGTAGTAAACCAATCCGAAAAACTGCTGTGCTCGTATCAAGTGGGTCAACCACTCGCCTTCATCCATGGCTGCCACCAACTCGGCTTCCTCCGAGCAAGTAACGAAGTCACGGATGTATCGCAAGCCTTCCGGCAAGGAGGGACCATGATTTGGACCCACATCGACCACGGGATCGGACCGTGCCACAGCGGTCGCGGGGCAACCCTTTCGAAGTTCATCCATTGCAGTTCGGCGAAGTGAAACATGCGAAACGCACCGAGCCCTGGCCCTGGAACGCAATGCCAGGCACGCGTCAATCAAAGCACCTCCGAATCCTCCCGAGCCCGAGGACTGAGATGACTGAGGACCGAACAACATCCAGCTGCTTTGTCACCTGTTGCTGCGCTTGGTCCGGCTCGAGTGCCTCAGAGGCGGGGAAGGCGGTTGCTTCAGAGCGACTTTGGCTCCGGCCTCCAGGCCGGTCAGGTGAGCAAGCGCTTGCGACGGACCAGCCTGCCACACGACCGACGAGACACCAACAACGAAGCACTCTGAAGGGCCTCGAAGGCAACAGAATGAGCTTCATCGAGAAGCGAAGGCGCCAAGCCCAAGCGCAGCAAGCCGGGCCTGTAGACAAGGTCCCCTAAAACAGAAGCGGTTCGTCAAAGATTCTGGTGCTGGCAAGTAAGTCACTTCCGAAGCATATCTTTCAGTCTGGAAATTGCGACATACGTCACCCGCCAACAAACCGTCAAAGTGAGTGTAGCGGCTCCTACTTCACTGGAGATATGAAACACTTGGGTCCAAACGGAATGGAAGAGAAGGCCTTGTGTCATCGGAAGGCAGTCGTGCAAGCACAGCGCTGCAAATGCCACCTCCAATAACTCAAATTGAGGCGGACACCCTTTCCGGAACAGAGCGGTGTCGCCAAAGCTGGGAGGCTATCCTTTGAGCAGTCTTGTGACGGATCTTTCTGCAGCTGAACCCTGGTCTGCCTCGAATACATACACCTCATGCCCGCATGCCCAGGACCATGGCGACTCTCTGCAGGTATGCTCTCAGATGCTCTGAGGCTAGATCGTGAAATCGCTGCGACGCATCTTAACTGGTTGCCCAGTGCACTTGCGGCATCATGATTTGTGCGAGCCGGCTGGCAGGGTCGCGAAAGTATCCAACAAACCCAGACACTCGGTCAGGCGCTATGATGTCTGCGCCTCCCATCAAGTAGAAGCAGTGATTCCACACGACCACCGCGTGACCGGTTCGCGGGGTGTACACCTTCGTGAGAAGAAAGCCCACACACACATCCACACACACGTCCACAAACGTCCACACATGCTCCTGGGATCTCCTCGGAGCCTCCCTGCCCCCCGCCTGGCCAAGCTGGTCATCAATTCGGGTCCAACCTCTGCCAAACTCTGGATGGGCAATGTCGACTCTAAGGAATTAAAAACAAGGGCTGCTACACCACAGGTCCTCTGGCATCAAAGTTTGAGCAGCATCCTGATGCGCAAACATGTTGTAGTTAGGATTCCAAATCAAGACGTGTTGTCCTGAGCATCACCAACGGCCCCAGTGCTTCCAGGAACATCTGGCAAGCGCAGTCACGAGTCTCTTAGCAAATTCATTGGACAAGGATAAGGGAGCCTTCTGGACGTGTAGAACTGGTCGGGACAGGTGGACTGCTTGCTGCCTGTCAAGATATGCTCAGTGCTCGCGTGCCCTTGTCTTGACCCTGCCCTGCCTGCTCAGCGAGTTGTTTCTGACAACGTTGTAGCTCGGATTTCGTCCGAAGCAAAATACGATACCTCTCAGAGCAACACCCAAACGCGCATCATCTTGCATCGCAGCCAAAGCCCGCAGAAGATGAAGCAGTGCTGCATGTGACTGACGGAGGCACATGTCATTCAATCGACGTCCGTCAAAGCCACCCAGGATGTACATGTATCCCTGTGTCGAGAGACGCTGGGCCGCCGAACGTGATTCCATGCATCAAGGAGCCGATTGGAAACGCCAACTTGTCTCTCAAGCCAGAACCCATGCTTACAAATGTCGGCCTCGTGAACCACAGTCTTGTGGAAAGTTCGTGCCGATGGCTGCACAGACATCGTAGCGACCTGCCAAGTCACTCCGGTGGCAATCTTTGCAACCGCTATGCATGGAGAATGCCTTCAACCAATGCCGATGCGTAAAGTTATACCTGGCTCGAGGCTTCAGTGAGGCACTCTGTGTGGCACGGAACCTGTCCAGAAACCATCTTGGAGCACTCGTGCAAGTCTGGAAAACGGTACTGCGTCTTGTCGACGCCACCAAACGTGAACATCTTGGACGCGACAGCAGTGTCCCCACCGCATCCTAGAAAACTGTGGGCAAAGCTCAGGCCGACACCGCATCACCACACACGACCGCTGTGTGACGATACCGCGCCTAGTCACAACCAAAAGAAACAGAAGATATGCCTGAATTCCCGTGCGATTTGGCTTTGGACACGAGGTGCTGTACCACGCAGGGGCAACCTGAGCCAGCGGCTGAAGCTAGATGCAGACATATGCAGACTCACAACAGTAACCTGAGGCCGTTGCTGGATCCACATGTTGGAGGAGATATTGTACTCAAACAACTCCTGCACCAGAGAATATAGGGGAACATTGGGTTCTTGTGTCCGATGTCTCTTTGGCATTGTAATTGTAGGAAATCCATCTGCACAACACCAAGGAAAACGAAAACAAGCTGAAAGGACACCAGGAAAATGGCTACGAACAGCTAACCAAAGCTTATTATCCTGTGAATTCTCACGCGGGATTTGGGACCAGATCAGTGCAGCGAAACCAATCAATATGTTCTAATCTATGCAAATCACCGTCTACTATCACACTTAAAGTCTCAACACCAGTATTGCTAACGTTTAAGACCTGAAAGTTTAGGCTTTATGAGTTCAGGGTCTATGTTTTGAGTACCCACAGACCACTGAAGCCCTGCTTGGAGGGGAGCCAGCTGCAGAAAACTTCTTTCGCAACAACTTGAGCAAATCTTGCCTGCAATGACAGTCACTGACATGCCTGCCGTTGGCAGAGATTGAGCAAATGATTTTATCGAGCTGTTTGAACGACATCATAATCTCGGAAATGAAACTCCTTCGCTCCTTTACTCGTGGTCCAAGCCCCGGATCAGGTAGCTACTGAACAGGAACTCAATGCTGCCCCTAAAGAGAACATCGCAGACAACAGCAACATCCCATACAGTGTACGGGGCCGAATGGACCGAAAAGCTCAGAGATGATGCGCGGCTTGCTCAGGGCCCTGAGGTACTCATGCACATGGCGCAACTCATGGTACATCCCAGCAGCCCTCCTGCAACGTGTCATGACCGTCCCAGCCCCCAAAGATGTACATGGAGTGGGCGTATATCACGGCCTTGACAGAAGCATGGCAAATGTCGTGCTTCCATGTGCTTCCGATGTCAAACAGCGGGATGCAACTCGCAAGAACTCGCACATCGAGGGCGGACTGTGTGCCCGAAACGATTGCGGGGTACTTGACTTCGCACCTCAGGATTTCCATGCTTGCCAGCCGCCGATTTTGATTGCGATTGAGTCCCACACACTGACTTGACTCCAGCGCTTATCTTTCAGATGCAGTTCTCTGAGGTCATTGAACCTGGAAGATGAGGCCAACAGCTGCACTCAAAGAACGCTGCGGCTTCGCGAATCTTCCGGCCTGTTATGTCCATCAAATCCGCCAAAAACAAGAAGCGAGTCTCGAAAAAGAACGACACTGTGGTCTGTTCTCTTCGTGGGGGCTTCTCCCAGAGTGTGTACCTGCCGTTCACTGAAACTCGCTGCCCGCGCATGCATGACATGCAGGCTGCCCAGGAGGGCACAGACCCCCACATGCTAGTTGCAATGTCATACTTGTAGACATCGTTGAAGTAGTCCCCGTCCTCTGCATCCACTCTTGCAGCTCTTAGCAACTTCACCGAAACATTCTACAAGCAGTTCGGCATCCCCTTCGCTTTTTCTCACAAAACTGATCGCCCGCTGGCTCCAAGTCAGCAGCATGGTCCGTGTGAGCTGAGGTCCACCCAGGCCTGCACACAGAGTAACTCTGTCAGCTAGCACCATTAACATTTATGAAACGGGCTGACGTATCCGTGGTGCATTCACATCACATGTTCAAGGTCTTGGAAGACCGCAGGTGCACAGGGGGAGCCTGCTGTGTGAAACACGGCACTGGACCGACTGTTCCCGTCTGCGGCATGTGCTGACAATTTGAGCATGATGCCACACATTCGCCAGATCTGACCTGGGGAAGTCGTGAGTTGACAACAAGGTTGACATCCGATGCCGGGGAGAGAAAGGCCAAGTGTCGGACGACTGTAGCTTGAGCTGAGCCGACTATGCTGATCCAACCTTGCCAGATGAAGGGCATGTCTGCTGCCTTCTTGTTGGGGCTGGTCCCCGATCGTGCATACTGCATTAAATAATGTGCTATATAGCTAAACGATTATGGAATGCTCCAACGAGATTTTGTCAACCTGGAAATCATCCTCATCATATTGTTCAAGATTCTTAGCCTTCCGGAACCAGCGCTTTATCTCTGCTTAGCCCTGAGCAAAGAAGCTGCAGCAAGTCGCTCGCCAAGCCTGGCAAAGACGGTGACATGACGCCGCACACCGAGCACATCCCTGCCTGGAACTTTGAAGTCGCGGCACGAGGCCGACTGCACCTTCCGGCAGGCTTCTACACTGCCTTCCAGCCAGACGTCGATCTCAGGCAAGCACCTTTGCGAAGCTGCTGCACCAGGTGTAGTACCTCAGCGCCCTTGTGGCTTCGCTCCTGGGCAGAAAGAAACAAGCTGCACAAAGCAGAGTTCCTTCCTTCATGAAAGCCGAACTACCAAATAGTTCTAACTGTTCTAACATGTTTTCAGTGCGGGCATGCGTCTGATGCCACCAGTGCTGCGCAGAAGGCCACCCAGTCTGGTTCAACAGAACATCCTCAAGTGTAGTCATCTTTCGGCTGAAACTTGGACCTCGTTCGCAGACTAGGCTTCTTACTTGGCATCTCGTTCCAAAGCATCCATAAAGATGCAGCCTTGCACTAAACCGATTCACCGAAGGCATGTAAGCAGACTTCAAGAGGCCTGGGGTCGGCACCCACTGGCGTCCCAAACCTGAATCTTGAACAGTACTGTACTGCATGAGCCTTCTGACGAAATCAGGACAAGCTGCGGCAGGCATGGAGTGCCGCACCGAAGCAAATTGCGTTAGGCGCAGCGTCTCTGGAAGTGAGAGCTGGCAGCCTCCGAGCGCGAAAGGGCCCAGCTTCAATTCCATCTCAAGAAGGAAAGGCCGGGACAAGCGAAGCGCCCAGCGCCACTTGGAGGCCTACACCGATGCTCGCAGCACAAGTTGCCACACAAGTACAGACCTTCATTGTCTGAAATTCTCAAGCAGGTCCTCGGCGCAAGCTGCCATGGCCGAGGCTCGCATGACGACACCACTGATTCCGGCTAGCTGCGCCTGGTCCGCTAAATGCAACACAAAGACGTGACCCGAGCTAAATCTGCTCTGCCTGACGTAGATAGTGCAAGGCCTAGGCAGAAAGGATGCAGGATGCTTCCTTGCCGTTGGGACTTCCATGAGTTCCGTGCTTCGCTCCAGAGGGCACCGTGTTGACACGCAGCCAACACCGGACCTCGCAGAGGGCACACAGCCACACAGGCGCCTGAGGCCAGGCCTAGGAGCCCGACCGAGACATCCAAAAGGGATCGCCGAACCCAAGCCTCGCCACTCGCCCCCAATGCGAAGTCGCCGATGAAAAAAGACCCCTGCCTGAGCCTTCACTTCTGGCGAAGCTCAACACCAAGCTCACCTCCCATCGGGAAGCCTCAGGTCTCTTCACGTAGCCAGGTCGCTAGGTAGGCGGGTGGCGAGATTTCAAGACCCGAACAACCTAAGATAGACTTGTCTACAGCTTGCCACTGCACGCTGCTGCCATCCACGGCCGCTTGCTTTAAAGAACTCCAAGGCCCTAGCCGGACCTAGCCTAGCCGCACCAGCCATGAGAACGAATCAGACTTTAAGCCAGATCCTGCCGAGAAGCTCGAACGCACGCCGTCTGGACGGCACCTGAGAGCAGGAAGATGGAATCGACAGATCCGTACAGCGCTGCCCGGGCCGAGGGCTGCTGCAAGCCTCCTGCCATGAAGCAAGTACTCCCGAGCATTCTTGTCTTGTCTCCGAAAAATCATGGACTGCCGACGTTGGGAGAGATGCTGCGTTCCTGCATCCTCCAAGGCTGACAACGTTGTTGTCCGCGAGCATCTTACTGAAAACGGCAAACGCACAGCAGCGAGCTCGGCAAATGAAGTCCTGGCATAAAGCTCCAATGCCTGAGAGTTCAGCTTTGCAGCATACTGTCAGAGCAATACAGAACTCGCCTGCCTGCTCCCATTGAAAACCACGAGCAGCGGCAGCAATTGCTGTTCCCCACCATGCACCTGTGCACGTGCGGACACTTGTGAAAGGAGGAAACCGATGCAAATCTACTACCTTGCCTGTCTGTGGCTCTGCTCTTGAAAGCACATCGAGAGCCTGTCTGCAAGTGATGTCTGCTCAGGCTTCAGAGATTACGTCCGCGAAAGCCCAGAACAACCTATTTCGCATCTTCGAACTGAATATGCACTGAGGTTGTTGAGAAGCTTGCATCGGATGACTCATTGCACTATTCAGTTTCAACTGAGATTCAGACCTGCTGCCAAAGCTCCGCGGATGAAAATGCACTGGCCTAAACAGGCCGCTTCGAAGCATCAGTCATAGATACACAAGACATATGAGCTTACCGCTGCAGATGCTAGTCCTGCTTCTCCAGGTGCTATGGCTGTCCTGTCGGATGTTGCCGGGCATGTCATCTCAACACTCTGACCTTGAAGGGCCTGCTCATCCCCTGCAGCAGGTCAGCTGCCTCACACAGAAAGAGGTTAACAGAACATCGCCTGCTACACCGAGCAAGCTGGCCTGCACCCACACTGACGAATTCGCGCAGGCGGCTAAACAAGCTCCGAATAGCGTTGCATTCAGCAGTCTAGCTGCAGAGCCTCAGCAAAGCTGTAACGCCAAACACAAGCCTCGGCTCAGACGGTGCCAAGCACCAGACCACACGCAAGAAATGCCAGTGATGCCTGGGTCAGCGCTGCTGCAGGCCCTGACCCTGGAAGAACATCTGCGGCCACTGCGGCCTGCCACTGATGGCCGCGACCACAAGCCGCCGCAGTGGCCCCAAGCAGCACCACATCACCTACAGGAGAGGCCTAGCAGTCTTCGCGCAGTCTTCACGCCCCTCGCCTCCGTGGAACTCGGCGCTCGCTCTCTCAAAGAGCTGGAGCGCTACGGTCCTTACACGTCACAACACTTACCTGACCCAGCCGGTACACTTCTCCTCTGAGACAGTTGCCAACGCGTGGCCGCCCCACAGGCCACGATGACGGAGGTGACCGCGACGAGGTCCGGTGCAACTCGGCGGTTCATCTCCGACAGGAGCTGGAGGCCCCTTGCCCATTCCTGACACATCTCAGCGCAAAGCATGGGACTTGGGACTCGACCTTGGAGAGATCTTCTGGGCTAAGGTCGGCTCAGCCCCGCGAGCTAAGGCATCCAGGGCCTGAGATCACAGCATCGAAGATATCCGTACTTCAAGCCCGTAGAGGGACCGAGAGAAGCTTCTAAGATTAAGGCGGGCTGCTGCAGAGTAGCTCCTTGCGGATGGCTTCGGCCCGCGATGGCGCATGCTGCGAAGAAGAAGCCTGAAACATGTCCAATTGAGTCTCCGAGCCGGTTGACTGGCTGTGAAAAGCCATGAAAGGCCCAAACAAAGCACGCTCCCATTCCGTCACCAAGGCCTCGGGCATCATGATCCGATGGCTCCAGAGTACAAACAGCTCACATCTGAGGTCCGGACGCATGCCGAGATGGCAGGATTCCAAGGATGCCGGACTCAGAAGAACTCAAGCAGTGCGACTGAGGGTGTGAATTCTGAATGCGTGGGCGCGAGCTGGAAAACTTGCGCGACCACGAAAGGAGCTGCAATGCCCACTTCCAACGCAAGGCCTTTCCGCATGCCTGGCATGCGAACCGGAACAGAGAGTGGTCTTCAATTGGTGCGAGTGTCAAAGCTGCACCCAAACACCAAACTGCTAAAAGCGATTGATGTCTGCAGCAATCTTCTCATGACTCCTACTCCTAATCCTCCTCCTCCTCCTCATCAGGATCACCAAAATAATCAACATCACCGTCAGTCATTGGCCCAAGAAGCAGCTCATGAAACACACAAGGTGCCAAGCTTGCATCTGTCAGTGCTGACCGAGATGTCGTGGACAAAGCCGATAAGATTCAGGTCATTAACAGAACTGGGAGCCATCACTCTTGCACATCTGCATAAAGCTTCATAATCCGTTACCCCTCACCATCCCAACAAAGGCGCCAGGTTTTACACAAACGACATGTGAGATGCAGAGGCAAGCCACCGAGCTGAAAAATGCCTAGCCACACAGCTTGCAGAACATTTCTTCGAAGGCACACAACCCTTTGAAGTGTTCGCCAACCCGATCATCGATGGGAAGGCCAAGAAGAACCCATAATTTTGTCCTTTAGTGCAACCTGCATTCCTTGGTAGCTGCTAGGCCTTCACGCCAGCAGTGCAATCTTCTTGAGTGAGTTCGTCTTGCCGTGCCAGTGCTTGTAGTGCCCACAGAGACCAGTCCTCCAAAAACTGCGAGAGTTTTGGAAAGGATCACCAGGCGTACCAGTAACCCATGCTTGGCAAGCGGCCCACTTCTGCTGCCATTCGGATCTCTTTAAGGCTGCAGCCCAAGGCCTGGAGACATGCCGAGCACTGCAGAGTGACTGGCTCGCTCGACACACGTGCTGGCCTCATCATCTTGTATGCATCTCAAGCACGCCATGACGGAAGTTGGCTGTGACGGTGGCAGCTATGGATCTATGGACTTTGGTCTCGCATGACGTGAGGCTGAATTGCACGGTGAACATAGCTGCAGTGCGAAGCCGAGATCCACGCATCTCGATGCACGAATTAATCATGACTCATTTGACTGAATACCGGCTGCAGCTAAAGTCCTTCTTGGTGTAGCCACCAAAAAACCACACAGCCCCAGACCAGACCACAGCCTGGCGGAGGAATTTCCGAAAAGGGAAAGGATGGAAGCTCCAACTGCCTGCGGGCTACCCAGCCCGCACGGCCTGTGCGCCGCTGCGTGCTGGTGGCGGACGACCTCCAGCCCGAATCTCCTGCCAAAGGTTGGTCTCCACATTGTACCTGAACCGAAACAAATGCCTGGACTTCTTCCCTCATCACTTGCTCATGGCACAGTAGCATAGTACAACATAATGTTGGTAACCTGTAGGAATGACAGATGAAAGGAGTGTATGACAGAAAATGGCACAGCGGGCACGCGTGGACGTCGCTTTGCCGTGCAGCTCCATCTGTGCCACCGAACAAGTAGAACACGCCATCCTGCCCAATACCGAACATGCCCAAACCACCCTCGCCCTCACCTGTGTGAAACATGTTCAACTTTCGGCATCTCACCCCGGCACCTCATTCACAACAGCATGGCCTGTTCTGGGCGTGTAAACCTGGAGACTTTGCTGGCAAGTCAGGAAGCGAGATCCGAAAGGCTCCCTGAGCTCAGGATTGCACATCACCCACGTTTTCCAGGTGATCCCACTTGTACGGCACTCCTAGCCTTGTGGAACTGTTAGTAACAAGCAAAGCCCAACACGTCCAACAACTGCCCTTCTCAGCCATCAACCCGGCCGTGGCCATGTTGTCAACACCTGACCTTTCCCAGGGGTTGCTGCTGCAGAAACCACGTAAAGAGAGAGAGAGAGAGAGAGTGGGAGACAGGGAGACAGGGAGACAGAGAGACGAAGAGACGGAGAGACAGACAGACTGAAAGACAGACCAGACCAGACCAGACCAGACGAGACCAGACCAGACAGACAGACAGACAGACAGCAGGCAGGGAGGCAGGTAGGCAGACAGACAGACAGTCAGAGAGACAGACATGGAGACATTCAAACAGAGACACAGAGACAGAGACACACAGAGAGACAGAGACACAGAGAGACGGAGAGACAGAGGCACAGAGAGACAGACCTGCGGACGGACGGACGGGCAGACAAACAGAGACAAAAACAAACGCGTCCACCCGCACACACACACACAAACAAACGCATGTCTGGATGATGCAATAATAAGGAACCGGCTGGCATTAAATGCGTGGCACAGGTTGCAACTGCGGCACTGTGTTGGAAGCAACGGTGGGCTGCGGTGACACAAAATACTTAAAACTCGACAGCTTGTGAGAAGCACCTCCGTGTTGGTGCCGGGTTTCTTCAAGCAAGCAAGCACCCAGACACCCGTCGGCGTGCCTTCACACGCTTGTATGCTCTCTGGACAAGTTCTGAGACCATCTGTCGATGTGCCATCCCCCCATCATGCGCGTCCACTCGGGTCCGGTGTCATGCACGCCGGGATGATACGCAAGGCATGACGGCAACGTGGATGAATTTTGCCGGTGCTCTTGTCCATTTCGCTCGTCGCCGCCGCACTTTGACCTTTGACCGACATCAATGCATCGGCGTTGTCAGCGTCATTTGTTGAACATGCCTCCTTTCATACATCTCGTTCCCAGGCATTTCCGTAGAATGAGCACACATATCTTCCATCCAAGACATAGTACCATGCTGCGGAAAGCTTGTACCCTGGAGGCGGTTGCAAACCTTTGTTGCCCCCGAAGGGCATAAAGTTCAAAGTTAAGGGGTTTGGGGAAAAGGTGTTGAGGGAAGCAAGCAAGACTGCACAACACTCGATGTTTTGGACCGCACAGCCCACACATGTGGTGCACACGAGAGTTCTGCACGGAGGACGATGCCGAAAGCATCAATCCCCCACCATATGCATGGGCTGTTTTGAACAAACCTAAAACACATCTAACCAAAGGTTCAAATAACTCAAAGGGCGGGTCGGGTGGGACACTAAAACAAAAGCTAAACATCCGATTGATCCGCAGTATCACAGGTATTGAAACATGCTTCATCATTCACTTCTGTTCATGCTTTGAAGCGTGACATGAAACAAGTTTGCCGAAAAGTTAAAACAACTGAAAACTGAAAGGGGAAGCCGGGCGCCGCAGTGCGCGGTAATAAATTATTAACAAGACAAGAAGGGCGCGGTGCCCAGCGTGGCAGCTCCTCAAAAAACTGCCGCGCATGGCATCGCGCAAAAAACAGTGTTGCCTGGGCAGCAAAACTATTGCCGCGCACAGTGCCGCGCATTACGAGGATGTTGCGCTGGAGTGGGAAGCGTGGTCAAACCCCAGCCACGTTAACAATCACTTAAAACGCTGAACCCGGAACAATACCCTTGCATGACCAATCCAAAAAGATTGTTGCCACATGGGGTGCCGCGCAATTATGCTGTTGCGCCCAGACCTCCCAAACCCCATCTGCCACTTTCACTTGGGGCCCAGACTTCCCAAAACCACGTCTGCGACTGTTACTTTCACTTGGAGTCCAGACATCCCAAAACCTCGTCACTTTTACGTCGGGTCCCTCCCAAGATCCCGCCTGCTCCCAAAACGCCGTCTGCGATTTTCACTTCGCCCAACCTCCGAAGACCCCGTCTGCTACTTTCATTTCGGATCCAGACCTTCCAAAACCGCATTGGCTGTTTTGGATTTTGAAGCCAAAGACGTTTTAGTTGCTTTTTTCCTATCCGTCAGCGCACATGTCCACGATTACTCAAGACACAAAACAACTTCCAGCATTTCTTTGCCAAACAACGTCCTGGCTTTTGTCCGATTTCACGGGTCCATTTTTGAGACCGAAAAACCAAACACTCTGTCTTTTTGAAAAGCTGCTTGCAAAAGCTAAGCGGCTCGTTAAAGTCGCAAATTGTCTTGCGATTCGGCAAGCGATGAAAAGGCGAAACAAACTAGTTGAGAAAAAGTGGCCGTGCATCGTCCGAACCACTATCAATGGATTCGACGGCGTCTTGCTTTTTCTGGTCCTGCATAAAAGGTGCCACTGCCACCTTCCAGCTCGGCCTTTCACAAAGCACCGAAAGTTTGAAACAAGTCACTTCCGCGCAACCGGTGCTTCCTGTAGAGCAGATGTCGTTTGGGACACTGGCTGCGTGAAGTGGACTTAGCAGAAGTTGCTGTCGTGCATTTGTGGTGTTTCTTTTCTGATGGTTTTCCATAAGCAGTTGTTTGTTTCCATTTTCCACATGTTCATTGTGTGCTGTTCCGGTTACTTTTTTCGGTAGGAGAAGGCACCAGCCAGAATCGAACTTGTGGGCATGGTTGAGATGAGCGGGTTCGCGCTGCAGGATCTTGTCGTGGCTGTCGTGGTTGTCCAA